CGGCCTCACTGCACTCAGGCCTCTCTAAATGGGTTTTCTGTTTAGCAGCAGTCCAACCGCACCCAAAAAAATAAATCTGCAGTTACACCCCTAGACCTTGCAGAAATAAATGCATAATGATTAATAAGAGGCACAAATGCTGGTGCTCACAAGGCCCGGACACATCGGTTATCACACGCCGGAATGCCAATTTACCTCCGCTCCCACCAAGCGCTATTTCTCTCAGGATTGACGGGGCTCGGATCAGATGTGTAAATTTTGCCTGTCTGGTGGACATCGGAGCAAGATGCACACCACAGTAACAAACATGGTAGGGGGGGTGCATTGAGAAGTGGAGTCATTAATGCTGCATTCAGAGAGTGTCAGCCTAACCACCACTGTCGCCATGGTTTCCGCTACAGATGCACATATGAAAAAAATGGGATTTTACCTTACCGAATTAGTGGGTACCTGTTAGTCCTTAGAGCGCTAGCTAGTGGGTAATTGTTAGCCTTTAAAAAGCGAGTTAGCAGGTACATGTTAGCCCTTAAAGCACGAGTTAGCAGGTACATTGTTAACCCTTAAAGTCCGAATTTGCAGGTACCTTGTTAGCCCTAAAAGCACGAGTTAGCAGGAACCTGGTTAGCCCTTAAAGTCTGAATTAGCAGGTACCTCGTTAGCCCTTAATGTCTGAATTAGCAGGTACCTTGTTAGCCCTAAAAGCACGAGTTAGCAGGTACCTTGTTAGCCCTTAAAGCACGAGTTAGCAGGTACCTGTTAGTCCTTAAAGTGTGAGTTAACGGCAACCAGTTATCCCTTAAAGCGTGTCACCAGGTGTTCTCATGTTATTTCTTCCACGGATAACAGGCACTTAAATAAGACAACTGCTGGAAAATAATAATCATAAACATTTTTTGTCAAACACAGCCATAGCTTGACAACAATACAAATTTTTCTAATTAGAAAAATGTCCCTGAAAGCACAGAGCTATGCGTAAGTCGCCCGGCGGGTCCATGTGGAGATTATTTTATAGCTTTAACAACTTGCCTCTTTCTCCTTGACAAGTGCAGGTGTCGGCTGGAGCCAGGGGCACCGCCAGCTTTCTAATGACATTTGCAGTCTGGAGAGGAGTTTTTTTTTTCCCAGCACAGCACTGGAAAAAAAAATGACCCCAGCCTTGAGCCTCAAATTTCGTCTCACTTCGTCACCACGACAACAGAGCCGATTCATTTCACGGAGTGACAGGAGGAGTTCTGATAACTCTGCTCCCATGTCTATGTGCCACTCGCCATCCTCCCTGACCCCCCCCCCCCCGACCTGATCCTCAGTTTTGGAGAATTAAGAGCAAAACAGCCTCCTGGCCTATTTCAGTGCAATGTCTTGCTTATCTAACTTTCTACTTTAAAAAGCAGGACTCCATGATATATCGACGCCGGCTGAGTGACGATAATGTGTGACAGACAGGGGCGATGGTCCGTATAGCGTGGGAGGGGCTAAGAAATTTCTGACACAGTACGTCACCATTGCGGGGGTTCCCCTACTACCCGATGGCTATCGTCTCAGCATCAATGTACCTAGTGTGCCCCACAACAAGATGGACTACAAGGTATTCACCAGGGAAGAGAGCTCCCCCTGCTGGCCTGGGGTCGTTCCAAGGCCAGCCTCTGAAAGCGACAATAACTCTGACAATAACTGAATAAAACGGCGAGAGAGCAGGCATTGCAAAGAAAAATGTGAATCTCATGAAGCACTACACAACAACCATAATGTCACGATAGTCACATGACAGTTACGTGACAGGTGTTACATCTTAGCATCAGGTGCGCATTCAATTAATTAACATTTAATTATGAGCACAGTATTCAACCAGGTTTGCTTTGCAATCATACAGTTCAGCACACTGGCAGTGATCCGGCTGTGGGGGGCTTTTCTGTGTACTGGGGCCAGGAATGGATGGCACAGGGACTGGGGCTGACGGAGGATTGTAGCACACCTGCACCCTCCTGAGATTCACACCAAAGCCAGAAACCACATCTAGCACCATAAATTACAGCCTCGCCTCAAGATCCATGCCACACCCGTGCGAGCAGCCTCGCGACTAGGAAACGACGGAGAAGGCGTCAGTGGTCAGGAACCAGACATGCTTTCGATGCCAAGAGCCGAATCCTGCCATGGTTTCTGTGTACGCTGGAAGGGTAGAAATTTTAAAAGAGAGAGAAACTCAGCCTGTGCATGTCTGTCAAGTACGAGGAAGGAATTTACTGAAGCAAAGAGAGATGGTCTTATCCAAGGTCAATGGAGCGGACCTGCACTAATCTCCAGTATAATAAGACATTCAGCGGCGACGTGATCCTCAGTCCGCGGCAGACATCTGAAGTAACCTCCATGGGCCTGCGGAAAGGTGCTCTCCAAGACAGCGCAGGGAAAGGGTGGCCTTTGTTTTACGAGATTGCTGGTACGAGGAAGGGCGGGGATGGAATGTGAGTCAGAGAACATGGGGCGGGATGGGGGGGGCACAAACAGTCATGATAGAAGCAGATAAATGAAAGAGAACGACGGGAGATGGGGACAATAACTGGCAGGGGGGAGGGGTTACTGCGCGGTCACTGTCCAAATGACCACACCCACCCCAAAGCTGGACACACGCCTCCCCTTCCTGGGTGGCAAAGAAGGGCTGAGGACAGGAGTGAGGCGAGTTTTCCATAATCGGATTGATAGCCCATTTCGGCTGCCTCTCCAACACCCAACACTCGTGGAAAAGATTGGACTGGCACTAAACGGGCCTCACGCTGATCCCAACTCAGTACCAAGACTTGAGAATGACCCCATAAGCCCATCACGGTGACATGAGCGGAGCGTCGGATAAGCCCTCAGAACCAAAGCCCCGGGCCGGCGCCGTTTCTGGCCAGCTTCCCACGAGGCCGACCGCACCTTGGCCTGAGCATCCAGCTAAATTTACCGGGGAGGGGGGACATGGCGGCACCATGGCCGGCAAGAGCTTCAGGGAGGGAAAGTTCAGAGGCAGCAAGTTCAATTTGGGATGATTCAGCCTGGAGATGGAGGGCTGACAGGCGGAGCAGGGGAGTCGCTGGCGGGATTTGGCAGACAGGAGCCGTAAGACGGCGGCTTAGCAGGAAGGCACTCCTAAGCCGGCACCTCCGGCACGCACATGCACGCGGGGGCTGTCAGGCCGAGCCGAGCGCCCTTTATCCTCACTGCAAGGGTACTGATGAGGAATCCGGGCAGGTAAGGGGGTTTATCCTGCCTGGGGCGGCCACAGGAAGCACGGAGACGATGGTGAGCAGGTAAGTCAGGGCAGCAGGATTCGTGCTGAGATCCAGCCTGCAAAGCTCCTGCACGCATGTGTGTGCGTGTGTGTGTGTGTGTGTGTGTGTGTGGGTAGATAACAGAAAGTTCCAGGCTATTTCCTCGACAGTGGCCGCCACCGTTTCATTCCATCCGTTTTCCGCGGCCAGGAGTGAGAGAGCGCTGCATATGAGCGACATCAAATTTCTTCAATGATTACCTGCAAGTGGGAAAAAAATGTGATTGACCCCTCCACCCCCACCCCCCCGCCCAAGACCACACTTAATGTGAGTCAACAAACCGTAACAGAGGTGCAGCAAGAGAACCAGCGAGAGAACCGTCAGAGCTGGCATCGCTAAATGGAGAGGAAAGGAAAAATGGGCAGTTAAGAAGGGACACGGGGGAGATGATCGAGCTGTTTCTGCAGAGGCAAAGTCCAAAGCCCACCTCTGACACCCCCGACAGTGCAGTATGAACTCCACTGGACTGCTTCAAGCACACCTACGTGACACTGCTTGGGAGCCATGCCCAGTGTCCCATGCCTGGTGTCCCTCTGTATCTCCCTGTATCCTATGCCTGGTGTCTCTCTCCCTGTATCCCTCACCGGTGTCCCTCTGTATCTCCCTGTATCCTATGTCTGGTGTCCATCTCCCTGTATCCCTCACCTGGTGCCCCTCTCCCTTTATCCCATGCCTGGCTTCCCACATGCGGTTTCTCATGCCCATTGTTCGACATTTCCTGTACCACACCCGATATTCCGAGCCTGGTGTCCCAGGCTCAGTGTCCCACACAGAGTGTCCCACACCCCAAACAAACCCTCGGAGGAACAAGCGATTTCCCAGCTCAGTGGCTCACGCCCAGTACTTCAAGCCCAGTGTTCACAGTGTCCCACGCCCAGTGTCCCAAACCCCAAACAAACCCTCGGAGGAACATGAGATTTCCCAGCTCAGTACCTCAAGCCCAGTGTTCACGGTGTCCCATGTCCAGTGTCTCATGCTCCGTATTTCACACCCAGTGCCCCACGCCCGGTGTCCTTCGCTCAGTATCTGATGCTCGGTGCCCCTTGCCCAGTGTCCCTCGCTCAGTATCTCACATCCAGTGACACACGCCCGGTGCCCCTCGCTCAGTATCTCACATCCAGTGACACACGCCCGGTGCCCCTTACTCAGTAACTCACATCCAGTGCCCCTCGCTCAGTATCTCATACCCGGTGCCCCATGCCCAGTGCCCCTCGCTCAGTATCTCACATCCAGTGACACACGCCCAGTGTCCCTCGCTCAGTAACTCACATCCAGTGACACATGCCCGGTGCCCCATGCTCAGTATCTCACACCCGGTGTCCCTCGCTGAGTATCTCACATCCAGTGACACACGCCCGGTGTCCCTCGTTGAGTATCTCACATCCAGTGACACACACCCGGTGCCCCATGCTCAGTAACTCACATCCAGTGACACACACCCAGTGCCCCCCGCTCAGTATCTGACACCCGGTGTCCCTCGCTGAGTATCTCACATCCAGTGACACACGCCCGGTGTTCCTCGCTCAGTATCTCACATCCAGTGACATAAGCCTGGTGTCCCTTGCTCAGTGTCCCATGTCTCAAGGAACATGCGGTTTGTGCAGCATGCGGATTCCAGTCGCTCCTAAGTTTTACAGACGTAACCAGCGGGACGAGTCCATCTGCTGCCCTGAAGCCGATTCGGAAATGCAAATGCCAACATTTTGTCTGCTGAGTTCTGCACAAAAAAAGCAATGCTAACAGATAATCTGTGCGACCTTTAATGATCAAACCTCCTTTAAAAAAATTCCATCCTTGATTTGTAAGAGATAAAGCTGCCAGAAGGGACACGCCAGTGTAGAAGTAGTAGGCAAGAGCAAAGGATTGTGGGAGAGCAATTCCTGTCATCAGATCCAGTGAAGCACTGGGGTGGAGCCAGCGTTCTGTGCTGCCCCCTAGTGAGCAATTCAACCCCAACAGCTTGGATACATGCATATAATAAACATGGTCAAGATAAAACAAAATATGAGAAAGCAACAAAATTGATTAGGCCTCGCTGTACCTGCTACACAAAGCTGAAACCTCACCCCATTTTTTATTATTTACCAAGCGTGGTTTGAATATGCGACAGCGTGTTCCTGTTTGTTCCTTATTAATCAGCTGAAAACGATGACAAAACAAAGGTCACATTACCATGCAGACACGGGAAATTCTCTGCGTGTTCTGATCTGTGTGCCACGTGTTTAACCAGTGAGCAGACTTGGGAGGGGCGCCCACACCCTGGTCACTGGAGCAGGCACTTGGGAGGAAGAGGCCGAGGGGGACGCACCTGACGGGGTTGCTGGTGAGAGACACACGTAGGGACTCTAGGCAGTTGAAGAGCTTGTCATCGGTGATGCCAGATCGCAGCTCGTGGACGTACTCCTGCGACGACAGTGTGCACTCGTGCTTGCTGTTCCTTAGGCCGCCCTGCGGGGGACAGTAGAGAGTCTCAGAGATTGAGGAACGGGTTCATGCAATGAGAAGCGGCCACCGGTCAGCCTCGACCTTCTCGGGCGGGAAGGGGGGGGGGGGGGGGGGGGGGGGGCTCATCCCACTTTGACACCCATTTGGCGACAGTCATTTTCCCTGCAGGCATCTGGATAAACACCTTCCTGCCATCAGGACCCCGATTCTTGATAACAGAGATCTGCCTCCAGCCCATCGCCCCCCAAGCAGCTTCATTAACACCTGGCTGATGGGAAGAGTATGTACCGTGAGTGCCCACCATGCCGCTGAGAGGGGCACATCTGAAGGAGAAGGCCCCTAAGAGGGACGCCCCACACGTTCCCCCACACATCTTTCTCTCTCGCTCTCTCTCTCCACCCCCCTCCCCCCCCCCATGGAGGGTGCAGGAAGCCCGTTAGGACACCTCGTCTTTATTGCAACCCAGACCATCCTCTCTCTCTTTCTCCACATGCAGTCTTTGAACCCCCGCCCCCCCCCCCAGATTCCTTGCACACCACAAACACACGCTTAACACCTCACAGCGCGCCATTCTGCTGGACCTCAGCCTGCGCTTTGTGGTTTTTTTTACACTGAATTAATTATTCTTTCCGTTATGGAGCGAAGGCAGAGCAGCCAAGCTCCCAATTTGTTGCGGTTTGCTCAGCCTACGGTCGGCGAGGGCAAGGAGAGGTCAGGACCCGCTGCGGTACATCACAGAATGGGGCCCTGAAGCGCAGGACAGGGGCCCGGATGAGCCTGGGGCCGCGGCCGCTGAGCAGGGGAACCCTAACGAGGCTGTTTTACACGTCTTTATAAGGTACGTTTGAACTCCAAGCTGCTTTTCTCCCCTACAGAATGCAGCAATTTTCCCAGAATGGACCCATGAAGCAAGGGCATACACACACATACAGCCGGCACGCAAGCCAAGCGTCACAGGCCTTGGGACGCCACACACTTGTTGCAGAAATAATAGGGGGTAAGATTCAGATTAAATCCTCCAGAAACTGCCAAAGACTCGTCTGTTGCCTTGTGGGGCACAGCTGCCCCCCCCCACGAACAGAAGAGCTTCTCCCTTTAGCTGGCCTCTGCAAACGGCACCGTTTGCCCAGGTTTTCATGGAGAAATGTGCTTCGCTATCCCATCAGCTCCTGCTGCCTCTCCCACTCCTCTGGAGGACCGCCGCTTTCTCTTTCAGCTGAAAAGCCGACAGTCACACTTGATTGATTTTTTTTCCGAGGATGTGTGATTTTCATGCATGACCCACCCCCCGCGAAACACGCCTTGGGGCAGGAGTTTGATCTGCCCCCTCCTTCAAAGGGCCCCATGGTGAGTGAGGTCGGGGTCTGTGAAACTCCTCCCCGTGAAAAGCTTTGTGTTATTTTTTTTCCATTTTCACGAGTAACCTCACATTCACAAAGGAAGTGGGAAAGAGTTCTGACTATGACATAAATAAAACACAGGCTAACAGTAAATAACTAAAAAAAAAAGCGGCGTCATTTATCCAGGCCAAATCAAGCAGGTATTAAAATGCTGTCCTTATTGCTCAGGATCAGCCTGTTCTATACTCAGAATAACATGGCATCGACCCAGTTAACCAGCCCTGAGGAGGGTCATGTGACCTGAGCCGCTGGTCATGTGACCTGCCTATTTCCCATCATTTTTCCATTAGACTCAGCTGAAAATATATCAGACATATAACCTTTGCTACAGGAAAAGGACACACTCCGTCTAACCAGCTAACACGGGGGCCTCTTTTCTTCTAGTCGTCTTAAATAATAAATCCGAGGGGGGCGACACTCAGTTTTTCTGTTCACTGTTATGCTACTCCTGGTTTCACCGAGCTCTGACCTTTAGATGTGGGAGGCAGCACGACCAAGCTCCCCCACCCCCCCCAACGAAAATCGATCCTGAGGGGCAATATCAATATCAAGTACCAATCTTGTGGCTAGAGACATCCACTAAGTTCCCAAAAGGACCTTGCTGGGGCGAGGGGGGGGGGGGTTAGGGGTCTCCTGCAGCCACAGTGTTTGCCACCAGTCAGACCACGACTTTGTGTGCCTACGAACAGCCACTGCACTAAATATTAAACAAACGCATTTCTTATTTAGGAGACGCTGAAGCCACACATCTGACTAACCAGCTACCTAGCTATGATATTTCGAGTGGGGCGTCAGAAAGAACACAGCCACCCCACGTCTCCACCCACACGGGCAACCCCGAGAGTCACTGCTACCCCACTCCAGAGTCACTGCAGGTGTGAGTCACTGGAGCAGTAAGAGGATAATCAGCAAGTGAGGGACGTAGCTTTTAGCACGGTGAACATCATCAGCGTGATTCGACGCGGCGTGAAGCCATAGCGTGGAAACAATCCCACTAAATTATAGTCTGTAAAATACGTGTCACTTTAATCTAACTAATCAGAAACGTTAGCAGCTGCATTAACGTGATCTTTTGCGTGTCACTTTCATGGAGCAATTAGGGATCATTCCGAATAATAACCGTTCCAATGAGGAACATTATTATTATATTCATATCAACGTTAATATTGTTATTGCTGTTGCTCCGTCTGTAGATACAGCGTCTCGATTCTCTGTCAGCTTAAGGGAGTGAGAGGAACTCGGGGAAAATACTGTGGAAACATGGAATATTTCTGAGTCGCACTGAGCATCCTTACGTAATAGTGGCATGAAACATATTAACATCCTGCTCTCTAAATAAATGCCAAATGGTGGTGGGGGAGGGGGAAAATGGAAGAATAATGAAAATTTTAATTAGTTCTTCTCTGTATGTGATTAATGAAAATGACTAGAACGCCACACTGATTTTTTGAAAGGGAGGACTGATACAATCTTAGCAATTAGCGCACATCGAGCAGTATCAAAGCCAAACGGCTCACATCTTTAATTCCTTAATTTCCCGCTCATTAGAGGTTGAATGACAGGCTTACAAAGGGGGGAGGGTATCTGTGACAAGCCCCTCCCCAACATACACAGAAATACAAACACACAAGGGAGCAAATTTGAACATACATATGGAGGTCCACGAAGAAAAAAAAAAATACAATCTGGATGAGCTGACGGCTGACTGGACTAGGCGCCCCCTGCTGGTCTCTTACAGCACAGTGCTGATCTGTCTATGAGGCTGCAAAGTTGCGGCAAATCAATTCACAACAACATCAATTTCATACACCTTATTGCCAGATGCAGAGGTGACCCTGAGGTCATCGCCCTACAAAACAAGAACCCCCGCCCTCCCCCCTTCACACTCCCTGCCGCTCCCCACATTTAGTCATTTATCCCGCTTGAGGTCCAATCCAATCCTGCAGCCGCTTTCATACGCGGTGAAAAACGCCGGCGCCCCGCGGCTGCAAATCGCTATGGCGACATGAATTTTAAAAGTACATCCCATCGCCGGATATCACAGCCTGCCGCTGTGTGTCACGCCGTCACCCTGCATCACTCACATCTCCGTGGAAACGCAGATTACGGTTACTTTATTCATGTCAGACCACCCCCCCTGAGGAGGACACTCTGGGTTCTTCGCCGCGTAGCGCCTGGTTATACACGCGGATCGAGCACCTCGCTCTAGGGGACAACAGCAGGACCCTCCCGGATCCGGGACCGTGACCACCTGCTCTCCACATTTCGTGCTGCTAACCTCATTGCGAGCAGCTAATCGAATGGGCCGTGAAAGGTTTACACGATGTAAACGGTGCCCTGGCCCGGTTCACGCCCAACCTCCCGAAATCTCGTGCCTGGCACCGGACGGCCAGCTCGGCCCCCGCTCAGCCCGGGAGACGGATCCCGGACTTTTAAGTGCATTATTTATTCATAACCTTGTTTTCTGTGGGAGGAATGGGGGTGAGAGAGATATATTGTGTTTCCATAAATGAGTTTCTGGGCCTTTCAAGTCAGAAGAAAAGAGATTACAAAACAATCACGACCTCGTACTCAGGACCATGAAACAAAGGCTGGGGAGGAGCAAGATTACCGGGTCATTTTCACCAGAAAATACATCCCCTTCCCTTTATTATCTAAGATAGTCAATTCTCAGAGAGTGAGAGAGCAGAAATGACATTCATTTTGAACGTGTGATAACAGAGTGATTCCCAACATTGTATTTCTTCATTTTCTACAATGTGATCACATTTGTCTTTCACAACATATCTCCATAATCTCCGACAAGCGAAAATAATCTTCCATTAATATTCTTCATTTAAATACAAAAGTGTTATTTTTGCAGCCTGGGAAGCTGATTATCTGCATTTGTGCGTTCAGCTTTTATCATATAAAATCACTGATGGGGCTTAATTCAAGAGCACAATGCATACATACGGTGTGCGGACTTCCAAAAAGGAGATTATAATTACACAGCGAATAATTACAATATGGTCCATAATTGCAGATGCCCAAAGAAACCAATTTTTAAAAAGGGCATCGTTCCGAAAATCTTTTTAAATAATTTGAAATTCTGCTGAACTGCTTTTGAAATGGAAGTTTCATCTGGCAGGTCAGGCGCACGAGGCTGGAGTCGCCGTGCCTTTAAGAGGAGCAGAGCCGCCCGGACACCCTCAGACACGCGAGTCTGTGACATCACACCCCTTCCTGCTCCTAAGACAGACGGCCAGAAGCGTGCAGGAGATGCCAGAAGTGGCCACCTTCCTGGCACGAGGACACGGTTGGCCGAAGCACAGAGCATGTGCCCCCCCCCCCGGATGGCCATCATAACAGGACGCCCCCCTGCTGTTGCAGGTTCACCCCGGTTCACGGTTTCGGCCACTCCACACTGGAACACAGGAACACGTCCCCGTCCCCCCCCAGGGGAGAAACGAGGCAGCCTCAGGTGGGGAGGTGGGGGGGGTGGCAGTTTCTGCCAGTTCATCTCTTCCTCCCAGAAGTGTCTTTAACCTGCCAGTGACCCCATGTGGCGTGGCGAGCAAGCAAAAGGCAGCCAGCAGAGTCCTGCCACTGTAACACGACTAC